CGAGGCATCTCTTGGGCTCAATGTTAGGGGAGTTAATTTTTTTAAGAATGCCGAATACACCGCCTCTTGGAATGTGCTCCCAGTTTCATGTGACTGGTCGCTCACCTTGGTTGAGCAAACATTGCGTTTCCCCACTGGTCCTACGTCAAAAGTTTTGCGAAGATTAAAAAAAACAAAATGTGGAGGGCCATATTTAGTTTTATACAAATGGTGCAAAGACCTCGTTTTTCTTTTTTTGTAGGCATGGCTGTTTACTTTGATGGTTTCGAAAAAGTTTGTCGACTGCATAATATTGTGAGTATTTTTGCTGCTGAGCTCAATGGAGTTTTCATTAGCATTGAATACATCATAATAATATAATAATAATATACTTTATTTTCTGGTAGTGTCCAAAAACGGCCACGAAGGCTTAGTACTTATTGGTACACTATAAACGAAATAACCATTGCATTAAAGATGCATCTGACTGTTGAGGCACAGGTTAATCAATACTAGCCACAAAATTGACAAACGCAATACACTCGTATACCAAGACGCTAGAGCTAACACAAAGCACTAAAATCAAAAGAAAACACAATGCTAGAAATGCAAACAAAGTTTGACACTCTATAAATGCTTCACCATTTTTAAAAACGTATCTGCATAGTAGATGTCAAGATCAGGAACAGAAAGCTCGTTATGAAGGTGCTGGATCCTAAACATTGGCAAGGCATGGTGTGGTGTATTTGGGTAAAATTGCTAAAAAAATCTACGAGTAGGAAAAGGGACATGAAGGCTCACAGATGATACGAGTGAAATACTATATCAATTCTACAAAATGTTAAGGTGGACTAGTTGGATATGCATTTTCGAAATAAATAGCGCGAAGTTCAAGTACAAATTGACGGAACAAGTGCTAACTCACAAGTGTCGTTTTAATAATCACACAGAAGATGAGAAGGAGGTAGCATTTCTCTCTCGTCTTTCTTTTTGGCATGAAAAAATTTCCAAAATGAAATTGCTTTGATGGGAAGAGGAAGTAACGTTGAAAGAACTGAGAAATAACAATAAAGGAAGAGCAGGGCGTTACATTAAAAAAACGGAATTAGCAGAAAGAAAGGATGGAAGTTGTTCACAGTAAACCGATGAAACATCTTCAAGTAGGAAAGTTCAGGTAATGAAGTTCTTTGTCAGTTAATGCCACTGATGGTGCACTGACACTCGAGTTTTCCTTTTCTTTTATGGTCATTGCCTCGTATAGCTCCCTGGATTTTTTCTCACGGAACCTTTGCAGGACCTTAGTCTCTGTAAGTATTGGTTTGCAGTGACAGTCCCTTACGTGCACTGCGAGATGCCCCGATGGTGTTGATTTGAGTGACGCAGCATGTTCACGTAGCCTGGTGTTCACGCACCAGCCGGACTGACCAACATATGCTCTGCCACAGGTGAAAGGTATTTCATATATAACCTGGCTTTAGCAAGGTATATATGTTTGCATGTGCCTCTGGTCGCATTCTTTGCGACATTCATCTGGGGAATTTATCATAGGACAAAGCTTCTTTAGCTTGTCTGGTGCTGCAAAGACGACAGGGATGTTATACCTGGCAGCCACCTTTTTCATGTTGTGTGATACCCGGTGAATGTAGGGTATTGCAGCTGGGCGTTGTCCTTTGTTCTTGGCTTTTTCTTTCCGTCTGCGGGTGTTGATCATTCTTTCTACTGCATCGTACAAGGTGGTACTTGGATAACCAGAGGTCTTGAGTCGGGGTATTTGTGTCTCGAAGCACTGTCTTGCCTTGTAATCATGACTTTTTGAGGGCTGTGCTAATACACTTTTTGATAATTGCCATTTTAATGAGTTTTGAATGGGAGGACTCATGTTGGAGTATATGGTTCCTTGACCACGGCATGTACAGGGTGTCACAAAAGAAAATTTACACGGTCTTTTTTACCACAAAAAGAAACTAGGCATCGCCGAACGCTCATTCTCCGCCCAAAGGTAGAGCTAGAGGTCACAACCAGATGCCAAAGTTTCAACCCGATCCGATAACTTAATCAAAAGTTATAAATGATTTTCTGAAAATTTCAATGGGAAAATGGCGGCCGACGGAGTTTTCAAACACATGGGGCTCTATGGCACCAGAAACCGAAAACGGGCGAAAATGGGCTCCTTTTTCCCATTGAAATTTTCAGAAAATCATTTATAACTTTTGATAAAGTTATCGGATCGGGCTGAAACTTTGGCATCTGGTTGTGACCTCTAGCTCTACCTTTGGGCGGAAAATGAGCGTTCGGGGATGCCTAGTTTATTTTTGCGGAAAAAAAGACCGTGTAAATTTTCATTTGTGACACCCTGTACATCCAGCAAGTATGGTTTAGTTGGAATATCATCCATAGATCAAGAAATTGAAAGCTGTTGCCTGTCGGTAGCTCGGGTGTAAAGTTGAGTCCTTGTGCGTTTTCAGTGAAGATTGAACGTATTGCCGCGCGCGCAGCTGGCCAAGTAGGCAGTGCGTGCGTGGAATGGTTATCGCGCCTGCCTCCCACGCGAAAAGCTAGGGTTCGAATCCTGGGAGCGGTGTGTCGTGTTTATTCCTGCAATTTAGTGTTCTGGAGAATTCGAGAATCATGTTGCTTGTTCCAGGCCCGAATGTTCTACGCGTCGAAGTTTCTACGCCGATTATTCCAGAAGACCACGCATGTACATAAGGGGCTCCGCGTGGCGAGCCACAATCAGTTTCGCCCCAGCGTTCGACTCTGCTGCTACGCCGTCTTCGACGCCCGCGACGCTGTTATTATCTTTTGTACTCTTTTATTTTTGGCACAAGTTCGCCACATTAAACGTTCATTTATTCCTGTTTATTTCTTGTTTATTGGTCACCACCCGTGACATTTTGGTGGAGGTGCGGGGTGCCACATGCCAGTGCAGCGTTCCCCACCCAGGTGAGAAGACCACTCAACGCGGAACCTGAAACTCGGACCAGTCGCCGTACCCAAGGTCTACACCCGGAATACGGACTTCTGCCACCCCGGACCAGGCAGCCAACGAGGCCGACGATGGACAACCAGTCGTCGCAAAACCCGTCCACCGCCGCCGTCGTATACCTTCCCGTCGCACCCCGGACTCCGACGCCATTCCACGGGGAGGTCCACGAGGACGTTGAAGATTGGCTGCAACATTACGAACGAGTTGCTCGCCATAACACATGGACTCCGGAGCAGTGCCTTCAGAACGTCTACTTCGCTCTGGAAGGCACGGCGCGCACCTGGTTCGAGAACCACGAAGCGTCGATTTCGTCGTGGGAAGAATTCCAGGCCGAGCTGCGACGCACCTTTGCCAACCAGCACCGACGACAGCGTGCCGAAGAACTCCTGTGAGCGAGAACCCAAGGGCCGACCGAAAGCGTCACGAGCTTCGTCGAAGACGTTCTCCACATGATGAATCGGGCCGACCCAAACGCTCCCGAAGAGAAAAAGCTCCGGGTCTTAATGTGCGGCGTCAAGGAAAACATTTTCGGAGGCCTTGTTCGGAGGCCTTGTTCGGAGCCCGCCTACCACCATCGAAGGTTTCATCACAGAGGCCACCAACATCGAACGTGCCCTCCAAGCACGCGCCGCCCACTATCACCGAGTTCCCAGCGTCGCTGACTTCTCATCTTCCGGCTACAACCCCACGGACATCCGCGAGATAATCCGGGACGTCGTGCGGGGGGAAATCAGGAAGATGCTAACTGCTGCCACAAGCCCGGCTACGCCCTCAGTCGCTGAGATTGTCCGGGAAGAACTTCAGCAGGCGCTGCAGCCAGAAGTTCTCACCAGCAGCGCTCCTGAACCACCGAAGCTGAGCTACGCCGCAGCTACCCGACGACCACCGCCCCCTGCTCACCCGTATACGGCACCACCTCGACGTGAACCTCTAGCGTTGCAGTATTCACGACGCCATGAAGATCGGGCGTACGTCCACCCAGAACAAGTTGCTCCACGAAAGACCGACGTGTGGAGGACGGCCGATCGACGCCCGTTGTCCCAAGTAGCACTAAACGTAGCCACAATGTTACTGGAATGTTGTCAGGTAACGTTGCCGAACGTTGCTAACGACCGCGGATTCTACCGTCCAGTAACGTTACACCACAATGTTACAGTAACGTAACTGCATACGTTACCTGGACATTACCCAAATAATGTTACTGGAACGTTGTTAGATAACGTTGCCAAACGTTGCTAATGGCCACCAGTTCTACCTCCCAGTAACGTCGCATCAAAATGTTGCAGTAACGTAGCTCTCTACGTTACCTGGACGTTAGATCAGTGATGTTACTCGGACGTCGTCAGCTAACGTTGCCAATTGTTGTTAATGGCCACGAATTCTACCATCCAGTAATGTTACACCAAAATGTTGCACTGACATTACGGCTTACTTAAAAGTGAAGGAATAAAAACGCGAAGAACATGCACAAACAAGCACTCTTTCATTTCGCAACAACATTTATTTTTTCAGGAGCAAAGAATTGCACACAGGTCGAGATCAACTAGATACCGAAGGCGGGAGGGAAGAGAGGGATAGGGAGATAAGGGCCAGAAGTGGAAGAATCTGGGAACCTTGACTAAAACACATGGAGTGTCACTGACTCAACCCTTATCTTCCTGAAGTTCCCTCGATCCAGCCTTCCATTTGCAGTTAATCTTGACCTGTGTGCGAGTCTTTGCTTCCAAAAAACAAGCGTCGTAACTAAATGAAAGAGCGGTCATCTGTGTTTGTCCTCACTTCTTTTATTAGTAAACATTTTAACAAAATGCTGGCACTGGCCAGATATTACTGCATGTGTTACTTGGACATTATTGAACAATGTTACCCGAAAATTACTAACATTGACAAGCGTTGCCAGGAAACTGCATATATGGTTGTCATGAAGTCATTTTTTGAGCTGGTGCCTGATATGAGTAAATGGATGAGCATTACAGGCCATTAATGAATCAGCATTTTGAAGTCCTAGAAGCAAGACTCCAGAAGAAAACAAGAGGTTATTGGAATAAATTTATTTCAAAAACGAAACAAACATTACAAGTACCAGTGTATTCTTCTGTTTCTTACAAGCTATTAGATCTACAAAATTGTAAAGAACACACTAAATTACAAGGCTGATCTGCATGGAAATAAAAACGCAAAATATTAAAATTCCCAGCAACATAAAGCAAGCAGCTTGAAATAAAATTCTAAATATATCTCAAACTACACCCGATCTTGGGCTAGGACATATAAATAAATAATGGAGGCAATAAACCAGAAAGGACTAGAAAAAGAACATAGATTTTAAAACTTGTAAAAATACCATACTAATGTGTACATAAATTAAATAAAAGAAACCACTAGCTAGGGCTAAAATGTATACATGAATAGAAATAAAAGGTAACATATGCATATTAAAAATTGCCATAAAAAATTCAAACAACAGGCACTCACTCATGGGATGGTTGTAAAAAAAAGAGAAAGAAATCATTAGACAAAAAAGCTTTTAAATGATTCAAATAGCATGATTTTTTTTTTTCGATTCCATGCATTTAACACGGTTAACCAATTCCATGCTTCCAACAGGGATCAAAGTAACCAACTACAGACATTTAAAACTATAACAGAAAAATCAAGGCAGAAACATGCTGAAAAACAGTGCAAAATGCACGGATAAGAGAACACACAGGACAAGGTGCTGTGTGTTCTTTTCTCTTTGTCTGGTTTTTGCACCGTTTTTCAACATCAATTCTTACCAACTAGCCCAGCCCAACTGTCCATTCTTGTAATCAGAAACATGCTTGCCTTCTCCCCTTGTGGCAGCCCCTCAGTCACTCCTGGGAAGAGGCACGCTGCTCCTGCAAAAAAATAAAACAAAAACGTTGGTTGCGTTCAGATAATGGGTGCCTATTTCAGTGCAGAGAGTGTCATCAAGATAAAAAAAAAAGCCTACCTCTGTTCTAACACAGTTTTGCCTCAGTTTCTTTGCATGCACAAGCCATTCTTTTCATCCAGTTTAGACCTTTTCCGCAAAGTGTGACCTACCCACAAGGAGTGATGCGCCTGCTCAAGCATGTTTTGATGGCTGAGCACTGGCAACACGTTCGGCCAACAACCTGATATGGCAGTCCCACAGAAAACCATGCCATGTGTCTGATTCTCACTCTCCTTCTAGGCCTCTTTCAACTTCTTTACACTGAAGCATAAAAAGCAACCTGCTAGCAAAACAAACTCTCTAGCTAGCTGAAGCCTAACGTGGACCTAATGATAACATGCTAGAAAGATTTTTAGGCAGTAATTGGGGGCCCTGTCCAGAAGGGTGTACCCCTCCCCCCTCCCTCCGAGCGGCGTCGCCGTCGGCGTAACTGTGAGGTCACGTGACCCTCCTGAAGGGGGGTAATGTGACCTCGGGAGGTCACGTGACCCCGCGGGGACGTTTCGGCACAATGCCGGAACGTCGCCGCGGTTATGGCGACGGCGACACCGCTCAAGCCGAAAACGGGCGCCTAAGAGCTGCGCTGTAAGAGACACCAAAACAGCAGGTGCTCAATAAACAATATGGATACCATTCACTATCACAATTGCGGCTAACCAAGCTGAGGCTAATCACATAAAATAAAAAATCTAAAAGCTAGAAAGCGTTAAGAAATTGTAGCAACAAAAAGCAAACATACACGTGTGCGTTTTTGCTTGGGCACTGGTGCACGTTCTGGAAGTTGAGGGGCTGGCTGAGTGCTAGGTCGTTCCTGCAGAAGAGACAAGCTTGACGGAAAAGGAGCAGTCTCTTCCTTTTTCTTTTCTCTCCCGCTCTTCATTATTCGTTGATAGGTCGGACGCCGCTTCCGGATTTTTTTTCTTTGAACTTTGCATCTTCATATGTCACTGAAACAAGAAAGCCGAGCACACCAGTCAAATGTTTAACCACCACAAGCTCGTTTGCGCCCCAACCTTTTGTTCATTAAATCAAATATGCTCGCATTATGCTTAGACAGTTTTTAGGTTTTAGGCCAACTTTTTCGGGCTCATGTATACAATCTGTCAGGATCGGGCCAAGCTCAGGCTTATATTAAACAAAACAAATATTTTGTCGGGCTTGGGCCGGGCTCAAGTTTCTGTCTAAAATTCTGCCGGGTCCGGGCCGGGCCCGAGCCGTGTCTCTTCAAGGCCAAGTCTGGCCGGGCCTGGAAATGAAATATTCTATCGGGCTCGGGCCGGGCCCGGGCCATGCCTCTACCGGGCCGGGTCGTGCCGTGCCTAGAAATTCTGGCTCGTACAGTACTCTAGCACACTCTACATTAGGTGAGCAGAGCCCGCGCTCTGCTCTAAGCAGAGCGCGGCTCTGCTTAGAGCCTATTTCTCTGCCCCAAGGTTCTCAACTCCTTGCTCAGGGCACTCAATGGCATTTCTGGCTCGTTTTCCTTGACTGGGCTCGCTTTTTGACAATATCTCTGATTTTTCCCGGTAATTAAAATATTCCTGACTATTCCCGGTTGCTAGACACCCGCTATACTTACAACATGATGCCATCACCTGACAGGAGAATGTGGCCCAGTCAGTAAAGGGCTCTTCACGCTCTCAATTACCATCATCAACCGATTTGATCTGTAGGGTGGCCATGCCGTGCGGCCATTGCACACCCAACAGGTAGGAACAACTGCAACATCATTTTCCGCCAAAAAATGGACCACAGAGTACATTTCCTGAAATCAACAAATAAAGCAACAAATAAATGGACAACAGAGTACATTTCCTGAAATCAACAAATCAAGCCTGTATTACCTCAAAGGCCACTCATAAGCCACGAAAAATAGTTTTTGAATTAAGCACAACCAATGTGCAACGGTTGCAAACATGGATCCCACTTGCAAGTGAAGTAGAAGAAAAACTGCATAGCCCTGGTTATATTGCAAGCAGACGCACTTCCACCTGATGTCCTGCACACTCCACACTGAATACTACTTGGAGAGCCCTGTAGCTCTAAAAATCCCTAGCTCTGATGATGGCAACTTTGAAGTATAAAGGTTGCCGAGATTTCGGAAAAACTGTCCGCAGATGCTACGGTTCCCATCTGACTCAATGAAGTTCCTAACAACAGCAATGTTGCCATACTTCAGTTGAACACAGTTGAACACAGTGCAGTGAGCTAAAACAAGCTCACTGCACTGGGTTTTCTTGAAGCTTGGCGGCTCAGGTTGTTGCTTGAGCAGAGCACACTTCTGTTGCACAGATCTTGACACGGTGGTGGGATTCACTTCTGAGTGCCTCTTGATAACCTGCTGCAGTGCCAAGGAAGGACCCCTCACCAACTTCTTGATCTTCCCAAGGAAGTTCTCAAAGGGAAAGGCCGAGAAGGTGTTGACAGGGCCGAACCTTCGAACGTCTTGTCAGGTGGATCAGGGAGTGCATGTTGTAGACATAAACCCCCTCATACAAGGTACCAGCTCCAGAAACAAACTCTCTCAAGAGAGATTCTGCAAGATCACAGCGTGTCAAAGAAAATTTAATTGGGGCTGGCTAGGATGGTCATAACACAGCTCAGCTTTATGAAGTGTCCATAAAAGCGCTTTTCCAAATGCTTTCTAAGGACCACGGGCCCGGGGGAACTGATAAGGGGATAAAGGAAAGGGGGTTTTGAAGGCCGGGGATTTTGAAGAGGGGGAGGTAACGCGGGGAATTCGCAGCGGGGATTTTGACACAGGTGTTCTGAGATTAGGTTATTTCGTGCACCACTCGTATCACTCGACTCAGATTCACACTCGGAAGCTCGTTGGTATTCAAACTCTCCGGAAAAACTTGCATGTGCTGCCACGGCCTGTTGTCCAGGTGAAAGAGGGTATGCTTCCTCACTGTCCACCGACTCCTCACTGCTCGTACCGCAACTTTCAAGTTCCTTGCGAACACTTTCGGCTACTCTACGTCTTTTTTGGCGATCGGCTAGCTCTGATAGCGAACGCTTCACCCGCTCCATTGTTCAGCACAAGTAGTAACAACAACGAAAATGAAACATACCTTTGTTTACGTTTCCTCCACGCCGAGAGATCGGCAGAGCGGTCCGATGAAACCACTATTCTGACTATTCTCCATGGATGAAAGAGGCCTTGACGGCATCGACGGTCCGTTGACATACGGTCACGTGGTCAACCTGGCTTCGACCTTGCTTGGCTTGAGCTACTTGCACTCTTGGCATCTTGGCTTGTCAACAGTGTGCGTAAACAAGTAAACAGCAAGTAAACGACTGAACATGAAGTGTCAAGTAGGAATAAACTCTGGAAATTTATCTGACAGTTCTAAATTAAGTTTTCTTTAAGAATTATAAAACATGAGATTGGTTGGAGAAATTGGAAATTAGTTTAAGCCGTACAGCCAGTACAGCTGGTACAGCTGGTACAGCCATAACCGTAAAGCCGTACTTGTGCAATCATGGTGGACGGTGGTGATGTGTTGATCTTGCAACGCCTTGGAGTGAATCAGTGGATGACCTCGACCGTAATATCGGTAATGATAGTGAACTGTTAACGTCGAAACGGTAGTACCGTAGCTATGCGACTGTGCTGTGCCATTGTGATGTGTCCAGATAACAAATGTAGGCATGGTCCACGCAGAGCGAGCTTCGAAGCCTCAAACTCAAATATTGGAGCTTTATGTCCCGAGATGGTTTGGTTTTGTTCTGACCACTTGTGTCGACAGCTCTTTGGCTAGAAGTGAACGAGGACAACCTATGTGTGTGCGATTATACTCGTTTCATTTTAATTGCGAGCGAAGCAGAAGCACACGAGTGACGCACAGCCGCCCGTGCGCTGGAAATATTGTTCATCAACAATAGTATGCGCTATCATCATCACTCACTCGTCCGCACGCTTCACTTCTCTTCTTTTACGGTAATGGCCGTGCATGGCCCTTTCGGCCATTCATTTTGAGTGGTCGGCGGAGTGCGTCCGTGTATCCGTGGCCCTTGATGCTGAATCTCCTTCCTACCTGCCCCCCCCCCCCCCCCCCCCTCTCTCTCTCCTCAATCACTGTTCTTTCACCTCACCCCATTCCCGTCCCATCTCTCCTATGTTGCCTTTCCTAACCTTTCCCTCCTCATTTCCTCGCATGATTTAATGCCAGCGGCCCCTCGCTCCCCCTCCCCTACCTCCATAGGATTTTATGTTCGTTGCCTTTAAGCTTTGATCTCGACTTCGGACCCTTGAATGCACCTCCTCGCCATCTCCCCTACTATCTCCTCGGTCTCCTCATTCCTCCCTCCCCTCTTCCTCTACTCTCCCGTCCACCTTCCCCTTCCCGCTACCCATCCACCTCACCTTTCCTCCCCTCTCCCCCTTCTCTCTCGTTTGAGTGATTTTGTGTTCATGGCCTTTGACCTTTTCTTTTTGGTGGCAGGTGCATATGGCTCTTCATTTTGATTGGTCAGGGATGTGTGATCTTGACGTTCGTGCAACCGTGGCCGTGACGTAAAACATCACAGCAATACCTGTGATGTTTTACGTCTTACCTGGCCCCACCCCACTTCATCTCCTCATCCCCTCCACTCCTTCTCCCCCATCTTTCCTCTGTGTGCTCTTCCTCCCCTCTTTCCTCTCCTCCGTCCGCTCTTGCTCCTCCCTGCCCCACTTCTCTTCATCTTTCTCTTCATGCTCCCTCAGCTTTTCATGTTTAGTCCCCTTTTCCTTCTGTCCCCTCTCTTCCTTGTGTGAGCGTGTGTTTTCGGCCTTCGACCTTCATAATTGACCTCTTTCTTCCTGCCTCTATTCTCCTTCCCATCTCCTCGCTCACCTTCTCCTTCAACCGTCTCCCTTTTCCCCTCCTCCGTCTATGAGACAATGGCTACCGCCAGTCGTCTCACTTGCAGTATGTTGCAATGAGCCGCCACTTTTTGAGTTTTCCGAATAAATATAGTGGTGAGCTGTAAATTGGACTGATATATGAGCTTCCGCATGTAACTATTTCAAATTTTCAATCGGGGTGTATTTTATACTGCACGCTCCAAGATTTCTCTAAATCTCTATGGCAAGCACTGGCGCAGACAACCAAGACAGGGCAAGAGTAAGAACCACCCAATCGCTCGATTTGACCTGAGTCCGTTGTGAAAATAGTCCTCGCTTCTATTTTAAATAGTAGAAATCATTTTGCAGCAAGCTCGGGTCGGATAGAGTAGTCAGTCGACCCCAAGAGCTCTCTGCGACCTGGCCGTAGGGTAATCATGTTCATATTTTTCACAGAAACAGAGCTACGCTTCGAATATAATGCAATAGAGCACACCACTAAAATACACCTTTGGTGATAATTTCAGCTAGCTACGTGTTCCAAATTAATTTACAGGCTACCACTCATGCCATCCTATACATGTTCGGGAGGTCTTTGGGTCGTCATGTCACCAGCGTGAGTTTTCCACCTTCGATATCACAATAACACCCCATGACTTCACCCTCTTGTTATCTTTAGCATGCGTTCCAAAAGCTGGGCATCCGAATGACCCTAACCTAAAAGCAACGATGAGGGTGCATGCTAGCTCGTGAATATTGAGCAGACTCGCCAATCCGAGACGGGTGAAGGGCCAGGAAGGAAACCAGCTCAAACAGGCAAGTCTTAACAGACTTCTCGACAAGATCTGTTGGTTTGTGTTTTCGTTCGTAGTATGACGAAAACCACAGTAGGGTGCCTTAGTGTGTTTACGTCTGCTTTAGTGTGGCGACATCAAATTATTTTGTTCACCTTAATTATCGAGTTGAGGCTCACTGGACAATTCTATGGCCCCGAAATGTAAGCCATGATCATTATCAGTTTGCCAGCCTTGCACTACCACTTAGGCCATTATGATGTTAAACTTGATTATAAAATTGTGCAGGGAAATGCCACACACACAAATGAATTCAATTTTATTATAAACCTTTTGGACAGATTTTTTTTTAGTTTTCTGCAATCTTTCTAGAGTACATTTTGAACATTTGTTTCAAACACGCCAGTCACAAGCATTAGAGCGGTCTTTCTGTTTGTATAAAAATAAAAATGTTTGAACAAGAAAATCAACATTGAACTATTCCAAGTTTGGTATCTTCGTGTATCCTTGACCAGCCTCTGTGTGATGTGGTGATGCGTCACATTTCGTCACATTAGGCCAACATCGCTGCAAAACATTGCCCGTATGTCAGGATGGAAATGTTACCAAGAGGTTATTTCTAAACGTTGCTCCAATGTTGCTTCTCTAACATTCCTGGAACGTTTGCCTATGTGATGTAACGTTACATGACGTTCAATGACAGTCAAACAATGTTACAGGAGAACGTTCCTGTTACGTTAGTTTTAAAACGTTGCTATAACATACCCAAATGTGCCCCAACGTTACATTACATTTGTGACATTCCAGTAACGTTATGGCAACATATGGTGCTACTAGGGGTGTTACCAGTGCGGTGAAGCGGGCCACATTTACCGTCGATGCCCCTACCGACAACTGGGGCTGCGCGGGTTCCACCCGAACGACCCGCGCCCAAGGTACGACGAACACCCTCGTGACATCGAGGAGTACCTCCGACGTTCGCCATCTTCAACGCCGCTCCGCCGTGAGTCCCGCTCACCGTGAGTCCCGCTCACCGTCGCCCAGGGGTTCAGCGTCTCCAGCGCCACGACCCCGCCGAGAGCCTGTCGCCCTTGCGTCGCCGGGAAAACTAAGTGCGGCAACGCCTGGAGGTGGCGTTGCCGAAGACGACCAAAGTGAAGAGCCTCCAAGAACGTCGGAGCGCTCCCACTCTCTCGACGCTACGCATCACAACGACGTCCCTGCATCGGTGTCCAACAACCTAAACATCATTATCGACGGCCACGATGCATCGGCACTCGTGGACACCGGAGCAGACTACTCAGTATTGAGTGGGAGGCTCTCTCGCCGCTTGCGAAAAGTGACAACGCCGTGGGAAGGCCCTCAAATACGAACCGCCGGTGGGCACCTCATCACACCAGTCGGGCCATGCACTGCTCGCGTCGAGATCCACGGTGAGACGTGCCCTGTGAAGTTCGTCGTTCTGCAGGACTGTTCGAGGGACGTTATCCTCGGAATGGACTTCCTCGGCGAGTATGACGCCGTCATCGACCTCAGAGCAAACCGGCTAACTCTGCGAAAACCTGTTTCACCACCGGAGGAACCCAAAGCGACGTCATCCGCGGTCCGAGTCCTCGCAAGTCACGTAAACTTACCGCCGCGGTCGAGTGTTTTCGTACCTGTCGGGATCATCGAAGCTTTCTGCAGCGAAGTTCTGCTCGAGGGGAGCCTCCAGTTGCTTCTGGGAAGAGGAATAGGCGTCGCAAGAGGGGTAGCTGAACTTCAGGATGGCCGCACTGTGATCCTCATGACGAACTTCCGAAATGAAGCGCAACACCTCACGAAAGGGGCAGCCGTTGGCCACATCGAGGAACTCCGAAACCCCGCCGAAATCGCCGCCATTGCTGACGAATCCTCGCCACCTCAGCAAGACAGTACGTCGCCAGCGCAGCTCGACATTGACCCTAAGCTTCCGGGCCCGAAACGACGTCAGCTGATTAACCTCTTCGTCGAATACCGCGACTGCTTTGCGACGTCGTCGAAGGTGCGCCAAACCACCGTTGCGAAGCACCGCATCGTTACCGAGGACGACGCGCGCCCTCTGCACCGATCTCCATACAGAGTCTCCGTCAAAGAAAGGGAGGTGATCCAGGAGCAAGTTCAAGAGATGCTGAACGACGACATAATTCAACCTTCAAGCAGTCCTTGGGCCTCCCCAGTCGTACTGGTTAAGAAGAAAGACGGGACGCTTAGGTTCTGCGTGGACTACCGGCAGCTTAACGCAGTGACGAAGAAAGACGTCTATCCACTCCCCCGCATCGACGACACGTTAGACCGGCTGCGCCATTCTCGATACTTTTCATCGATGGACCTGAAGAGCGGCTACTGGCAGATCGAAGTCGACGAACGGGACCGAGAGAAGGCAGCCTTCGTCACACCGGATGCGCTGTACGAGTTTAAGGTGATGCCCTTCGGACTATGCACGGCGCCAGCAACTTTCCAGCATGTCATGGACACCGTACTGGCAGGACTGAAGTGGGAGAGCTGTCTCGTCTACCTCGACGACGTCGTAGTGTTTTCCGGCGACTTCGACGAG